CCAGTATACTTTTAAAATCCATTTATTTCAACCTTAGTCTGTCCTGATCATACATACGATTTCTTCCCAAAGATTTCCCTTCACAAATCTTCTACAATTTTCCTTTGCATTCAGGTTTTGTCCCAAGCCATTTCTTTCTCAACGACCAGTGTCATTTAGGACAAATTTACTTTCTTTTACCTTTAACAAAAATGTATTTTTCTTATATCATTTTTACATATCTACTTTTCTACCTATAGAGTGGCTTCCCTTATTTTCAGCAGTCTTAACTACATTTTGCAGAATTTTAACTCTTAGAAATCTTTAGTCTCCAGCGAAAACTAAGCAGTAACCAAGCGTAAACTGTTATACCGGAGTTTTTGAGATTGCAAATTTATGAATTAATTAAGCACAAAGCATGTTTTCCAACAGAATGAAGTATTTTTAGTTCCTCTGCAATAAATCAAAAACACAAGCCTACATTCAGTAATCAATGCTTTAGCATTTTATCCTGTTTGGAAAAGATCTAGATGTCCAGTGAATTTAATTCCAATTTATCATCCAAATAAAACTTTAAAGTTTCAGGTTACCAAAGACTTTGAAGACTATCTTAATTATCCATGACAACTTTGAGACAGACATGGGACACCTGGCTGGCTCAGTCAGTTAAGCACCCAACTCTTGATTTTAGCTCAGGTCATGACATCAGGATTTGTGAGTTCAAGCCCCGTATCAGGCTCTGCACTGACAGTGTGGAGCATGCTTGGGATTCTCTCTCTCCTCTCTGTGCCCTTACCTCACGCTCTCTCAAAATAAATAAACTTAAAAAAAAAGAAAGAAAACTTTGAGACAGATCAAAGTAACCATCATCTTTTTGCCATCTTTTTGGTGAACAAATTGCAAAAGACAATACAATACAAGCTTATTTGATCTTCAGTAAACATAGGTAGAAAAAGTTTCAGGGGCGCCTGGGTGGCGCAGTCGGTTAAGCGTCCGACTTCAGCCAGGTCACGATCTCGCGGTCCGTGAGTTCGAGCCCCGCGTCGGGCTCTGGGCTGATGGCTCGGAGCCTGGAGCCTGTTTCCGATTCTGTGTCTCCCTCTCTCTCTGCCCCTCCCCCGTTCATGCTCTGTCTCTCTCTGTCCCAAAAATAAATAAACGTTGAAGAAAAAGTTTCATAGCTAATGCTGATAACTCTAAAGACATGTCTATCTCAATTAAACCAACCAACTTAAATTACTTTATTATTATTTTTTTTAAGACAGAGAGTGTGCAAGCAGGGGAGAGGGACAGAGAGAGAGAGGGAGACAAAGAATCTTAAGTAGGTTCCATGCTCAGCTCAGAACCTGACGAGGGGCTCTATCCCATGACCCTGAGATCACGACCTGAGCTGAACAGCCAGACTCTCAACCAACTGAGCCACCCAGGTGCCCTAAACTTAAATGACCAATTACCAACTTAAATACCAAATATGTTCTACTGGCGTCCACTTACAAGTCAAGCAATTTGTTCATCTTTGTCAATTTTTTACCTGGGGCACCGGTGGGGCGATCTGAAGGGAGTGCTCTTAGCTCCTTGACAGCGAGGCGGGGAGGAGAAGGAGCTGATGTGCACCATTTTTCCTCATCTCCTAAGGAATATTGAGGCCAGGAAGTATTACAAAAGAAGGTCGGTTTTTTCTTTCTTAGATCTTGCAATCTGAATTTAGTCCAGTGGACTCAAAGGCATCCCAAGAAGATCCTGTGTTCCTAGAAAAGTAGAGAAGGTCCATTACCAAAAATCCGCCCCCCCCCACCCCAACTCGCAGGTGGCATTCCAACACAGGATACATCAGAGGTTCCTGGTGTCAAAGTGACCCACCTCTGGAAATCACTATGTCACCCACCTCAAGCAAAATCACTATGATCATCGGCCAGCTATAAAGGGTCCTTGGAGGATGGATGCTAGCGTTCCCCCCCCCCCACTTCCCATTGCATTATGGACTGTAAAATGAATGCTGGCATATGGACTGAAAACCTTCACCTTGCCTTGCCTTGAAGGCTATGCAGTGCCTTTATTAACCCATGGAAAACACTACAAAAGTTTTACAAGGGGGGAAATTATCCAATTTTGTAATGGCAGTAGTCAATAGGGGACACTAATGAAAAACAGTAAAGATAGACATCCATCACGGTCGGGTGCCTAGGTGGCTCAGTCGGTTAAGCGTCTGACTTTGGCTGGCTCAGGTCATGATCTCACAGCTTGTGAGTTCAAGCCCCGCATCGGGCTCTGTGCTGATTGCTTGGAGCCTGGAGCCTGCTTCGGATTCTGTCTCTCTCTCACTGTCCCTTCCCCACTCATGCTTTCTCTCCTTCAAAAATAAATAAACATTAAAAAAAATTAAAAAATGGGAATGCAAGGTTGTGCAGCCACTCTGGAAAACAGTATGGAGGTTCCTCAAAAAACTAAAAGCAGAACTAACCTACGACCCAGCAATTGCACTACTAGGCATTTATCCATGGGATACGGGTGTGCTGTTTTGAAAGGACACATGCACCCCCATGTTTATAGCAGCACTATCAACAATAGCCAAAGCATGGAAAGAGCCCAAACGTCCATCAATGGATGAATGGAAAAGAAGATATGGTATATATATATACAATGGAGTATTACTCGGCAATCAAAAAGAATGAAATCTTGCCATTTGCAACGACGTGGATGGAACTGGAGGGTATTATGCTGAATGAAATTAGTCAGAGAAAGACAAAAATCATATAACTTCACTCACATGAGGACTTTAAGAGACAAAACAGATGAACATAAGGCAAGGGAAACAAAAATAATATAAAAACAGGGAGGGGGCCAAAACAGAAGAGACTCAGAACTATGGAGAACAAACTGAGGGTTACAGGAGGGGTCGTGGGAGGGGGGATGGGCTAAATGGGTCAGGGGCACTAAGGAATCTACTCCTGAAATCATTGTTGCACTATATGCTAATTTGGATGTAAATTTAAAAAAAATAGAAAAGAATAGTTAAAAAAAATTAAAAAAAAAAAAAAGAATCCATCATGGTCTAAGCGACATTCTAACACATGTAGTCTTTTACAGCCAACTTCCCTAGGAAACAGTCCTGGTTGAGTTTAACTCAAGTGGGTACTGGTTTTAGCCCGGCTCCCCGTGGAGGTCTTGTGGCCAGAAGTGGCTAGACCAGAGATGTGGGGGGGATCACATTAGACCACCTCACACGGGTGTCTTCAAGATTGGTAGCCATCCTGGTGACTTACATGGCTGTCCCGTGCCCCAGAAAGAAAAAGAACAACTCTGTATAAGAATAGGAATAAAGAGAGGGCCTCAAGTTTCTGGGTCTTATTACCATTCCGACCAGGGTACTAACTTCCAGCCAAAAGACAGGCTTTCTCCTCCCCACAGATCTAGGAGCTCCAGGCCAGAGAAGGGCAGCCTGAGCACTAGAAAGGAAAGTGTTCCAGTAAGACCACACTCCCCGAAAAGCCCCTGGAAAGTAAAGGAAGAGTAATTACTCACCAGGTTTGCACAGAGGCTCAGAGTCCTGATGAAAAGCCTTGAAACCCCATGCAAGGGCACCAAAACAATGAAATTTGAAGTGGGGTTCGTGAGCAAACAGCTCAGAAAATTCTTAAGACGTTTTTTGGTGCAAAAAGATGGCTGTATTCAAGCACGGTCCCAGGACCTGTGGGCGGAAAGAGCGGCCCTGGGGTTGGACCGTATACTTTTAAGTTTGTGGAGGGAGGGAGGAGAGAGATAAAGTTAGTTTCTAAAGAATTTCCGTGGGCTGGAAAGCAGAGTCTTTGAGGACCCTGAAGATTTAGGTATTGTCAAGATAAGGTTGCTTTTAGTTTTTAATGACACGTAAACACCAAGGCATTAAGGCAGCCACAAACTCCTGGAGGGATCTCACCTGCGTGGGGCAGGTGTCCAGGATCTATCAGTGGGCTATAAGCTGTAAGGGATTGAATTTAAACGGCATTTTTCTTGCCTTTATTTCCCCCAGCACCCTGACCTCATGGTGAGGAACCCGCAGGCAGTGTATGCCCAGCACCCCCCACCCCCATCTCCTTCCCAGAGGTCAGAGGGTGCCCTGGCACCCTAGTCTGGGAGTCGGGGAGCCTTGGCCACGCTCCACCTTGGAACTGACCGCTGAATCTCCCCTTGCTGGGCCTCCCACTCCTGCCAGCTGAACATGTCTGTGAATGGGGATGATGAAGCTAGAGCAGTAAACTAAGTACAGGTGGTAAAATGAAGCCTGGAACTCATGTTAATTCCATTCCTCCCTTCACCTAGATTCCCTTGGCTCCTGGTCCCCCTCCACAATCCATCCCCTGGGCCTGGGCCACGGGTGGCACTGCAGACTGCAGGCCCCACATACCCCTTATCTAGAAGCAGAGGGGAGGGCGTGGAAAGAGAGTGGTAGGACCCTGGGTTCACCCTGTCCCTTGGCCCAGCCCTGGCTGGAGGGCCCGACTGGGTGGCTGCAAGGCCCAGTCTCCCTTCCACGCTCCCATTCAGGGTCACGGTCTTCCCTGAAGTTCCAGAAACCCTCATTCCCCAGGGTGGAAGGGAGGGTAGGACCCCTGTCTCCCCATTTCTGCGCCAGGCCCATCTGGCTGCTCTGATTCTGGAAGTTGCTTTGTGAGGCCTGCAGCCTTCTGGGCAGGTTCTTGACCTCTGCTTGAGTCTGCTGAGGGTGTCAGGTCCTCCGGGTTCTGGTGCCAGCTCTGCTGCAGCCACTGTGACCTTGGCCAAGACCTTTCCCCTCCTTGGGCCTCCGTTCCCCCAGGTGTAAAATGAAGGGGGTTGCAAATGCCCTGAGGAGCCTGAGGGCTCTGTTTTTGTGTGTGTGTGTGGGGGGGGTGGTGGGGAGTGTGGGCCTTGGTCAAGGGAGGGACTCCAGGCCCCACAACCCAGGGTCCCGCCTACCCACCTACAGGTGGGATCAGGTTGACCACCCCTGCCTCAGACATCTCAAACATGTCCTCCACATCGAAGATACTCGTCTGGTTAAATTAGGGCTGCTGAAGAGAGGGGAGGTGTGGAGGTGTAAGCCTGCCTTCCCCAGGAAACTGGACAGTAGACAGTAGCCCCCAAAGGATTCAGGGGCGGCAGGTGAGGGGGAGGGGAAGTGCGGGCCCAAGGGAGATGTTTTGCGCAGGGGCTGGGGAGGTAGGGGTGGAATGGGGCTGGGGCTCTCGGTGCCCTTTTGACACAAAGCCCACAGGGCCACATCTCTGCTAGCACCCTTTCCTGGAGTGCAGAGATGCCAGGAGTGAATAATTGCCTAGAAGACACCCGAATACTGTCTTTATGCAAATTTATGCAAATAGTATGCACGTAAAGCTGGCCTTAGGCTGGGTGCCCCTGGGATGGCGGCTGGTGGGGGATGGGGTGCTCCTGTCACTTTTGACTTTGCCTAAGGCCTCCCAGGACTTCACAGGGAGAGGCCCACCACCTTCCCTCTGCTCTGCACGGTCCCTCTTTTCAACAGGCTTAGACAGGAGACCAGCAACTATGAACTGCACCCCCCCTCTTCCCCACGTGCCTAGGCCCCACTGTGCAGGAAAGGCACCAGGGGTGCTGAGGGGACACCAGACTGGAAGATGCCAGGCACAGATGGTCTGGTTTGGGCCAGTGTCCTCATTCTGTAGGAAAGGACAGCGAGGTTTGGACAACGTGGTGGATTTCTCCCTGGCCCGGCTGGAGGTGACGGGACCAGAATTCAGTCCAGGGCTGCCCGATTCTGACTCCATGCTCTCTCCTCACCGCTGCCATCTCCAATGCTGTGCCCCCTGGTAGTTAAAGGCCCTGCTGTGTGTGTTCGTGGGCCCCAGGCCCACTTAGCATGCCGGTCCCGGGCCACCCCTCCATTTCCTGCTCGGCGCTTGGCAGGTGCTCTGTAAGGGTCTGCACACAAGACCGCCAGCGCACCTTGAAGGCCGGTACTTGAAGTTTGTGTCGGCTTCCAGGGTATTTGTTCCTCTTTTCTTAAGTCAGCCATGTCCAGGCCTAGACCACACCCCGGGTGGTTTTCTTGCTGTGGAGAATGGATGTTCTATTAGCCTGTCATGCCCCTGGGGTGGGCGATGAGGGGCCTCAGAACTGGGCAAGGAAGTTCCCTCTGGGCCTGGAGAGCACTGGCCTGAAACCTCCCGCTGATTGAGCTACAACTACCGCCCCCCCCCCCCTTCCTGGTCCACCCTTCCCTTCCAGGGAACCCACGTTGGCACGGGCATGATGAGTGGAGTGGCAGGGTCAGATTGAGGACTATGTGAGCCCAGGGTGCGGGACTTGGGTTAACTCCGAGCTTTGGAAGACATTTTGCCCAGAGACGGCCTGGTTGAGCTTTGGGCCATCAGGGATCCTGTTCCCCCTCAAGTGGGGGCATCGGTGGTTTCCGTGGACGGAATCAAGCCTGCACACGTTGGGGCATGGCCATCTCATGTGGCCATAGGCGGGGCCTCCCTTGGGAGCCCTTGTGGGCAGTTTTCTGGGAAACGCTCTGAAATAAAGGATGGTGGGTGTGGCCAGGTAAACTTTCTGTAGATGGTGGCAGGTACTTACCCCATAATGATGGCGGCCTAAAAAGCAAGGGTGATCTCTTTACGGGGGTCACAGGCCAATGGGCTCAGAGACCCACATACTCCACCCTGGTCTCTGGCCTGGGGCCTGGCCAGGCACAGCGCGGTGAACCCCCAAGGGGGCCGCTGTGGTGCTGGCAGAAGGAATAGCAAAAGTGGCAGGAGCCGGGCATCCTGATGGCACTTGTGACAGTGGAAAGTCTCCAGGGCCAGAAAGCCAGTTTCCTTTTCCCATCAACCTTGGAGCCCTGGCATTTCTTCCCAAGCACCGTTTACCTCAGAATGTGACTGGCTCTCCAGCTGAAATAAGACACAACTTTTCACTTCTCCAGGCTTATCATACAGGGACCAGGTACAATTATGGGTAAAATACGATTCCAGGCCCCATGGCAGAGGACCAAGTCCTTGGCAGAGGACAAATGGGGGTTGACGGCAGTGTGGTGAGGCTGGCCGCTGGGCAGCACCGGGCTTCCTGCCCAAAAAGGGCAGGGGTGGGGGAGGCCCGGGTACTTACGCAGGGGTGGAGGCCCGGTTGGTTTCCCAGACCATTAGCGAGGCAAGCAGCTGCTGAAAAATTAACCACAGGCCTTAGTAATGCACTTTGGAGAGAGGCACCCCCTCAGGTGCTCAAATGCATGATGTGGACCAGAGAGGTGGGCCAGAGGCTGGCAGAGCCTTCTGGAAAAGGAGAGAAGAGAAAGGCACGGAGTCGGCCCCGCACATCCCTCCTCAAGAGTGTGTCTGAAAAGCGTCTGTGTGGCTCAGTGGGTTAAGTGTCCGACTCTTGGTTGCAGCTCAGGTCATGATCTCGAGGTTTGTGAGTTTGAGCCCCACATCGGGCTCCATGCTAACGGTGTAGAGCCTGCTTGTGATTCTCTCTCTCCTCTCTCTCTCTCTCTCTGTCCCTTCCCCCACTGTCTCTCTCTTAAAAATAAATAAATAAACTTAAAACATTAAAAAAAGAAAAAAAGAGTGTGTTTGAGGCAGTGACGCTGAGGGGCATCTCTTGCACGGTCCCCACATGAGTCTTGGGTCTAGGAAGCCACCGTTGACCCTACTCCAAGGCTCCGCCCTCTCCCCTTGATGGCGTCCCACCGTGGCATGTCCTCTGAAGACAGGCCCACATTTCCCAGTCAGTCCCCGAAGGCTCTCTCTTGAGGCAAAAGCCTGGTCTTAAACACTGCTGGGCAGAGGTTCTACATGAGCGGGGGCAGGAGAATCTCCTGGGTGAGGGGCCCGAGGACCCTGGAGTTCTTTCTGGCAGGCACTGGGCCTCCTCACCCGCCAGCTGCCATCCTGCTGTTGTTAAACACTCGCTGTGCGCGGCTCTCCGCTTTCATTGTGTCTGACGTCTTCGGCACTCTTCCGGGAAGGTCCTCCGTCTGCCCATTTCTCAGCCGAGAACACTGATCCTCCAGCAGTGAAAATGAAATGGCATCATGTGGTGGACGGTGCTTTAAGGGCAGTTGAGCTCAGTGTGGTGTGAGTGGGTATCTGGCCTCAACTTTCTTGCTGTGGTGATGGCCCCGTCCTTCCGGGCTCAAGGTATCTCCTCTCAGTTGGCAAATACCCGTTTTTGAAAGCTTGTGTTGGGTGGCCGATTTGCCAAATGGTTACAGGGCAACGGCTCTCCAGCTTTTTCCAGGGTGGTCCAACCTGACCCAGCACATATACACTTAAGTATAGATTATAGATCCACCACTGAAACAGAAGTGTTAAGAGACAAAACTTACCCTTAGGACATGGGGTAGCATCTGATATTTTCAATTGAATTCTATTCCGTTTCATTAAGGAAACGGCTTGTTGACTCAACCCTCTAATAAAGCTGTCAACGGAAATTTGCAAACGCTGGCGGGCAGCCGCGCGTGCAGGGTCGGGAGGTGGTGCCGTCAGCTCATCCCGGTGGCTGTGGGTGGTGGGGCGTGGTCTTTCGGGATCGGTAAACTAAAGCTCGTGTAAGTGACAAACAGATGGAGGGTTGTCCCAGCCACACACCCCCCTGGAGCAGGCGCTCAAGGGCGCAGCTGGGGTCAGAGGTATACTTTGCACCCCGCAGGGACCCAGGGCTCCCTAACGGACCTGGGTGCCTTTGACGTAGTCATTCTCATCTCCCTGTTCCCATTTCCTTCTCCCAGCACCGAGAAGGTCATAGCTGAAAACGGTCATGAGCCTTTGCAGCTTGGACATTCTGGGATGGCCCCCACTTCAACTTGACTTCCTAGTCTATAAAATCCTGCCCGTTTTGAGGAGGCCAGAGCCACGGAGGGATGAGCCACCAGAGGCCCAGTGGGGGTAGTAGCACTGCAGGGGGAGCTGGGCAGAGGAGGACGGGGCTGGAGAGGAGGGTGGTAGGAGAGGGAAGGGGCTCGAGGCTTCTCTTGTTGCTATGAGCCCTCCTGGAAGCTTTGGCTGCTGACGATGGGTCTCCCAGCCGCCGGTGACCCTCCCTTTTGCTAGGCCTTCTCCAGCCCTTTGCATGTGGGCATCTGGAAGGCAGGGATGCGGAAGCCACAATTAAGCGCCTGTAAGCCAGAAGCCAGGGCCTGTGCTTCAGATCAGCTCGCCCCGCTCTTCCGAGAGCCCTTCTCTTACAGGTGCCATTTCTTTCCTATTGGGACATGGGGACGTTTCTCTACTGAGAAGGATTGCATTACTTTTTAAGTCAGGCCACTGTGTGAGCCACCTGGGCTAGGAGGAAGGCAGAATTTCCCTCGGAGAGGTCTGCTCTTTGGGGATACCACCTTTAAGGACGAAAAAACAACCTCCCCTCTAATCCTTCACCCTACCCCCCAGGGGCAGAGGGTCCAGACTCCTGGGAGATAAACTGTCCTGCATTTGAAATCACAGGGATTTTGAATTTCAGGTAACCTGGTAGGGAAAGGTGACGATTCAGAGCTCCGAGCTGGAGAGGAGGAAGATCTGGAGAGAAAGGGGTCCCCGAAACAAGGTGGGATCTAGGAGCTTCTTTCTAGAAACTGCACTGTGGGCCATTCTGCTATTCCCAGAGTTATTCCCAGACCCACACGTCAGTTATGTGCCAGTGTTCCCGGACCTCAGCGAGTGCCTGTCTGGAGAGCCTGCCTTGTAACCACTTTTTGGGGACAGGCTTTCTGGGGGCTCAGAAAGGAGAGCAGGCTCTGATTGTCCTGGGGGCCTGAGAACACGGAGACTAAGCTGAATAAGCCCCAGTGAGAGCTGGGGGCAGGCTGCCGGACTGGCCGGGAAAACACCCCCTAAACACCCCCAAAGCTCTAGTTGCAGAATGTTTGGGCGGCTTGCCTCCGGCTTCGTGGCTTCTCTCCAGTGGGATTTGCAGGAACAGTCATGCCTCCTGCTGTCGCCCACAGACTAGCCTGCCATTATTCTTTGCTGAGTGTTTGCTAACTCTGCCTATGTATTTTCTTTAGGCTGGGAAATCAGTATGGAGAAACCAAGATCCCCCTAAAGGAAGCGCCCACTCTCCTGTCTTGCCTTAGGGTCCTTCCGCCTTGAGAGATACATGATAGAAGGGCACACTTAACAGCCCTTACATGTACCAGGCTCTGTCATGTGCGTCCTGACATATATTAATTATCTCATCAAGTTCTTACAGCCAACCCATGAGCTAAGTCCATTACTATCACCCCCATTTTATAGATGAGGAGACTGAGGCATTCCAGATTCCACAAGGTTAACCACTCTCCCTAGTGAGCAGCCCTCAAACTGCCCCCTGGGGTGTGTTTCTTGAATCATCTTTGATGAGCCAAGTGTTTCTCATTTGGGTCAATTTCACTCCCCCCCTGCCCCGCCCCCGGGAATATTGTGCAAAGGCTGGACACCATTTTGATTGTCACGACTGGGAGGCGGGAGGGTGCCACTGGCATCTAGTGGGTTCAGGCCAGAGATGCTGCAGTGAGCAGGACAGCAATCCCCAACAAAGAATTGTCCGGTTACAGACGTCTGTGGAATGAGAAACCCCGGATGAACCAAAGCCTGTATCTACAGCTGTCTGAGAGAAATCCTGGTTTGGTCGTTTCCACCTTAGCGTTTCTCTTCCCTGCTCTGTGTCAGGTTCCCTCTTTCCTGCCTGAGATCCTACTCAGCACCCAGGAAGCCCTCCTCGGTGGCAGCCCGCTGCCCTCCTGCCTTCTGGCTCAGATCCCCGGGGCATGTGTCTCAGCCTGGAGTCCCACGAAGGGCACAGCCTGGGGCTGGCCGTGTGTGCGTGTGTTTACGTGGGAGGAGAGCTCACGGAGCAGAGTGAGGGGGTGGAGGAAAAGCCAAATCAAGGGTACGGTTGTTGACTTGGCCTCTGTCTACCAGAAGCTCCTGGGGAGTGTATCTCCTTGTGTCCTGCCACCGCCGTGTCGTGGCCCAGAGCTGCTCTGACGGCCCAAAACTGCCCTGCACCTCTGAGCTGCTTTCAGGACAGGCTCTCCAGGGGACTCATGTCACCGTGGCACAGAGGCCCTGGGACAGGAGAGGAGGTGCACGCCTGCAGGGGAGGCCGAGAGGGTGTGAGCTGGCTACTAGAGGTACTGCGAGGGACAGACCCTGTGGGCCAGTGCTGAGACCCCCACCACACAATCCACAGACACTGGCCCACCCCTGCACCCACTCCCTGCCCTCCGGCGCACCATTATGTAGCTGGGGAAAAAGACAGGATTGTTCCAAACAGTTGATAAGGGCCAGAGGACCCTGCACGATCCAGTTTCACAGCCACTTAGCAGTGGTGATGACAGAGCTGGAAGGAACTTCAGGGAGTCTTAATCTGATCTCACCTTCTCACTTAGAGGTGAAAAGATTCAGATGCATTCATTCACCGGGTCAACAACTGTGCCCACTTTGCTGTAGAGAAGTTAAGTGGCCTCTGAAGGCAGCCTAGGGGTTGAGTGATCCACCATGAGGTCCTAGAGGGCCTCCATGAGGGGTCCCAGAGGACTGGATGGGGCCGGGGGTGGGAGTGCCGGCCCCTCTGCTGACTTACCCTTCCCCCCCCCCCCACGGGGGGTCCCGGCTGTTTTGGACACGCCCAGGGAGATCTGGGTCCCTTGCTGGAGTCTTTGCCCATCTCCCCCCAATTGTTAATGGGTATTGATTTGCAAACAAACGCTTAAGTGCAAGAGAGGAGGGTTCTGTTTACAGAAGGGGCATCAATTCTTAGAGAATCCAGAGTCCTAAAGTAACATGAACACTCCTCCTCTTCTGCACTTCTGACTCTGTTTAACCTTGGGCAACTCATCTT